AATTAAAATAACTGATTAAAAAGGGTAATTGAGAAATTGAAAAAAAAAAAGAGAAAAATAAGGGAGAGGCAGAAAGAAGAAATTTTCAAGGACGTTGGTGACGTCAATTGCCGAGAGCGACGTTGAAAAGTGACAGGCGATTGACTGCGGACATTATAAACTATGTTCGACGGTAGCTACGGGACTGTGTAATCAACTCTTACTAAGGAATTCAAAAAATAAATATTAATGCAATTATTATCACAATGGCCATAGCTTTTGCAGAATCGGTCGTGATGGAGATTTCGTCGCAGAAGCGGTGGATAAAATATGGCCGTTTGCTGCTGTCATAGATGTATATGGTCTACGACAAAGACTACTAATCAAGGGATAATTAGCCTAGAACATTTTTGGCATACTTTTAAAGATAAAGCATAGTGTTTTATGTGACATAAATCAATTCAACTTAAAAGACAAAATGTTCTAAGTCACATTGAACACTTTGATTTTAACAATTTTTGAAAAAAAAGTTACAAAGACTGTTCTTTCTCCAAATGTTTTCTTAGGTTTTAAGCAAGGAAATATTAAAATCCACATATCTTTAACGATATTGAGTTGTTCTCCCGACACCACGTTTAGTAGATTTTAAATTTTCAAAATCCGACAATAAATTAAAAAAAATATGCAATTCTAAATCTTTACATGCTTTTTTCTCAAAAACAACAAAATGGCACTTAGAACAAAACGTTTTTCAAGCGACGATATATATATATAATATATCTTCTTGGTGGTATTTTTCGTTTCATATAGGGGATATACAAAATGTATTCCGATTTATGTTCCATGTATTTTTGCATCTTTCATGATATCCTCACATAGGTTCATACCGTGGTTAAATTATTAGGCATATGAAAAACCATTATTATTCAAACATTACAACTTGGGAATAAAAGAAAAGAGAAATCAGTCTAAAAAACGTACTGGTATTTATTAACAAAAACGTGTTGGCATGAAAATGGCCATGGCTGGATAAAAGCATTTTAATTATTTAACCTATTGAGATGTCTATGTGTTTCGATTTAAGACTACTAAATGTCTTTACTATAACTGTTTTTGCCCCGGCAACGGTTGCAAAAACGTGGTAGCACATGCTTCAACTCAGGGTACACAGGTACAGATGATGAAATCACTTTACATGTCTGTTTTACAAATTGATCAGCTCCGATAACGGTCGCTGAGAATTATAAGCATTCTCCTTTTTCTATATCTTTTCTGTCCCAGTCATGACGTGCTAATATAGTGTTATCTGAAAATATAAAGGGAAAAAAGCAAAAACAAAGAAAAACAATGAAATTGAACGGGTGGGTTTGTGGTGGGATTTCAAGATTTGAAATGTAAATTTTAGATTTTTTTAAACGAAGATAAACTAGTCTACCTCTTCTATGGTGAGCCACGATTGAAAGACCGTTCCCAGAATTTGCTCTGCCTTATATATGACATATTCAAGTGTAAGTTGTCTCCCCTGACAACTCTTTTTGAGGCCCTACTGGGGTGTTATAATAAAAAATGTTAAGTTGTAAGATTTGAATAAAGATTTAATCCTCTAGCGGATAATCGAATATTATTCAAACATTACAACTTGGGAATAAAAGAAAAGAGAAATCAGTCTAAAAAAGGTACTAGTATTTATTAACAAAAACGTGTTGGCATGAAAATGGCCATGGCTGGATAAAAGCATTTTAATTATTTAACCTATTGAAATGTCTATGTGTTTCGATTTAAGACTACTAAATGTCTTTACTATAAACTGTTTTTGCCCCAGCAACGGTTGCAAAAACGTGGTAGCACATGCCAAAAAGCCCACAAGCAAAGTGAAACATTTGACTGTGGGCTTCCGCCAAAGCGGGCTACCACAGCTACAATTTTGCCCTACCCAGCCATGGACGTGAATGTGTTGAGAGCGCCCGATATTGTATTCAATAAAACGTGGTTACCAAAGTCCGACAGATGTGTGCCATCCGGCCTATACAACCTAGGGTTTTCTGTAATATTCACGAATTCGAAAACCCAGCCAAAACGCCGCCCCCGGCACCCTCCGTACACAGCCCCGGGGAATTCACCTAATGAAGTGTAATAGCGAACTCAATGTTTTCGGCCTTTTTTTTTTTTTTTTTTTTTTTTTTTTAATTTAAATTGAAATAAAACAGTTATTTCTTTATAAGAAAATAATTAAATATCATTGTATGAATAATTCCATACAAAAATAAAGTAAATACACAAGTTTACGCAGAAAATAACCTTTTTTATTATGGAAGATTCCACTACGTCTGTTTGAATTTTATTGATTTTCATTATAAACAATTTGTTTTGTTTTTTTAATAATTTGCAATAGATATTAAAACGAATATTGATAATTTTTTAAAAACATCATTTTTTTTTCACCTTAAACGGTTAAATAATGATAGAAAAATAGAAAATATCTCGTAACTGTGTTATGTACATCATTTGGTGTAATTCCCCAGAGCTAAAACGGCAACGTACCGGAAAAACGGCGCCCAGCTAGGTCCTCGAAAAGGGTCAATCAGGGTAACGAATATAATAACCCCCGAGTTTAATAACAAATGTACTGATACAACTATTTATACGCATGCGGGTTTTATTTGCAGTTTTGTTACATTGGACATATCTCCATGACCTTCTTGGTAATATCTGTAGTAACAGGCATTTTTTCCAGTAAAGTCCCTGTTATAAAGTTGTTGATGTCCCACATGATTTCAACTGAAGGTCGATTTCCTAAATCGTTCCCGCCACAGTGTAATATCAAAAAAATCTGCGCATTTTTTAAACTCAAGCAAGTATTCTATCGAAGGTTTTAAATCAGAAACTTCCATGCCCCCCTGATATTCCCATATAACATTATAACCTAGAAATTTAAGTCCTCACTTCTGCGGCATGCTGTTTGAAGGCATCCCTAATAAATGAAGAGCCTATAATCCAAACATCCGACATTTTACAGGCTGAAATAAGTTTGATTATATATTACCTATCCATTTAATATATATATATTATCAAGTAATGTTATCAAAACCAATGTCAGGCACATAATGCCAACTAGGTGTTATAAATCATTAAAAGACACATAATATCAGGCACACATAATGCCAACTGGGTGTTTATAGATTATTAAAGACATATAGTGTCTGGCACATAATGCCAACTGGTGTTATAATTATAAAAGACACATAAATGTCAGGCACATAATGCCAACTGGGTGTTATAAATTATAAAAACACATAATGTCAGGCACATAATGCCAACTGTTTGTTATACATTAACACATTCAAAAAACAATATCAGGCACATAATGCCAGGCACATAATGCCAATATATATAACATTTTTTATTACAACAGCATAAATTGCTCTTCTTAATACAGTAATGTGTATTAAGACCCGGTAACGGTTTCTTAATACAAATACGTACTTTATTTAAATAGCCAAATTTCGGATCGCCGGCATTCACATTACAGCCATTTTGGCAGATCCCTAAAAAAATAAGTTTTTTCCATGAAATACTATAAAATTATCGGATGTAGGATTTATAAGCGTAAGATCGCCAACGGACTCTGTATTTTATATCATTGATAACACAAACCTCACGGAACATATTAGAAATTAGAAGCCCCGCCGATTCGAAAAGAGTGTGCTTTAATTTTTTTTTTTTCTGACCTATCAAGTTCAAAGTTCTTTTTAATACTGAATTGAATTGAAAGGATGTTAAGGGACTTCCATCGAAATGGCACTCTTTCAGTTTTTCATAACAGAGTTTGGTCAGTTATCGGAATATCAATAGAAACATCCGACATATCTCTGGTCGTTTTTTGGACATCTAAAATACAGTCTAATGAGATTTTGATTGATCGTTACATCATCTACATTTAAAAGTACCTTTTTTTGATTTCTTTGAAGGCAATGCAATTTCGCTTATTCTTAACAGACCTATGTAGGCAAGACAGAAAGCATCAGAAAACATTAAACACTCATATTGTGATCTGCAAGCGTTAGGTAGGGCTGATAAAAGCTGTATCAGTACATTTTGTGTTATCGGGTGTCTTGTGTCATGCCTTTTCGATAATCTACGGAACCCTTCTAGCATACTATTGACTATGAATTGTTTTGTATTGTCAACCAAATTGTTTATTTTATTAAAATAACTTATTGTTGAAACGTGAACACCTACTGTTGAAAATGAGTATTGACGTAAAGACATGTGTGCAATATATTCCGTTATATATAGTTCTAAATGGCAGTTATCTTACTTATCTACCCAATTTTTTTCTGTAAACATAACATAACCATTGAATTTTTCAAAAAAAAAAGTTAGCCAAATATGTGCATCTTCTTTCATGCCTTGGTTGACTAATAAAATGGAACGGTTTTCTTTACATACGACATGGCGGCCATAAAAACGTCTTTTAAAGGCACGGCCACTGGGAATAGCTTTCGATATAAAATTAAATAGACTGATTACAAGTAAGTGTTTGAGTCTAATCTTATTAAGTTTTCTCACCCAAACGAGACTGTTTTCGCTTTCCTTATTTTTTTCTAAAGGCACCTTAACCATTTGGTTGATTGAAACCAATTTCAAGACCCAGGTATGTTATAGTTATAACAGGTCCCATCCATTTTTCCGACACCAAGTTCATTGCAAATTTTATCAAATGTTCGCATTAAATTCAAGCATTTATGATTTTTCAAAAGATTTTTTTGCCATAAAAAATCATATAGTACTGTAGGTGGTCAATGTAGTATGATTTTGATTCTTTAGACACAAGCCATTGTAAAAAACTTTGAAAAATTTTCAAAAATAAAACATGAACATGATGCGCCTTGTGGCAGCATTTTTTGAATTTAATATCCCTCCTCGGTTTTTATACCTAATAAATCAAAATCACCTGGCCATATAGGGCATAAATTAAATGCAGAAGAAATGTCAGCTTTTGCCATAAAAGCAGAACCCCCTATTTTGTGGCGACTTTCATATTTTAAACTTTTACTTTGGTAGCGTATAAGTCGCAACACTGTTTGGGGTTTAAACAATCTTTAAATAAATGGATATAAATAGGAAAAGTCTTTGTTTAAACTTTTAAAATGTAAGAATATTTATTGAACAGTTAGAACAAATATCATATATAAAAATAATTATGTCTTTAACATCTATCAATAATAGTCATTTATAAACTATATCTCTTCTTTTCACAATTTCTATTAGATTCTATTCTCAATTAATATCTCTGTTAAATTATCTTTCTATTTTATGTTCTGATATTCATTTACAATGTATCAATGTTATCTTATTCTATTTTCCACCCCAATAATCAACTTATTTATTACTGAATTATCAGAACTAACTTTTATCTCTGAATTCTCAGAGTCAACTTCAATCTCAATCTAATCTTATCTCAATCTCATCTCTCAATCTAATTTCATCTCAATCTCATCTCAATCTCAATCTCATCTGAATCTCATCTGAATCTAATCTGACTTCATATTCGAAAACATCTCTATTTATACTAGAAGAATTCCGCTAGAATTGCAGAATTTGGCAGAAAGTGTGATGTCATAAATAACAGTGGCAGAATTCAGCAGAATTCTGCAGAAATACATACAAACATATTCAAAGATTATCTTTCAAGTTCAATTAAACAGGATATACAAAATATTACATAATAAAAGCAATTACCTAAGATATGACATAATCTGTAAAACATCGTCTGTCAACTGTCAAAAACCCAATGTTTACCAATAAGAAAAACGCCCACGAGAAATCAATGACGTAGAACGCATAATTCAATGACGTAATAGACATAAACGTAACAGGTACACATAAATGTTGTAAACATGCCGGTAACTCACTATCAGCCAAATTATCCAATATCTTTAGAAATTGACGTTAACAGTAGATGACAATTATAAACAGACATACAAAAATGTGGATAAAGTTTACCGCTAGAAGGTAATTCAATCTTGAACTTTATATTGAACGGTAAAAGCTTTATCACTGAGATTAAAAATAATGTAAACAATACCCCACCCACTTTTAAAACCATTAAGTTATACGGAGTTTGCACATAAAAATACTCAATTAAAGAATAAAGTAAGCAGGTGAATTATTAGATCACCTGATCCCTGCATTACCCCCTCCTTTTAAAAATTTTGTGTCCTCACAAAAAAAAACAAGTTGTGTGCCTTTAAAGGTGTAAGTCTTACATATTAACTTACATGTACAAGAAGTAAATAAAGAGTATAGTTTATACTCTTAAAAAAAACAAATTGTGTAGATTCATTAAAAACAAACAATATTTCATATATAACATGAACACTAAAGAAAATATTTTTCAATGAACAATAACAAGTTTAAGATATTTAAGTAGTCAATTAAACTAACAATTATGTCAATATAATTCTGTCAATAAAGATTACACGAAACATTATAACTGTATAAGATTAATAATATTTCCTTCACACAAAATGTCACTATATTAAATACTTATACTTAATTTCAAAACAAAATATACCCTGAGTGTCTTTGTCTTTTTTTTAAAAAAAACATTGTTTTCTTTAAAATCTGATATGCTTGTTTATCCTCTTTTGGTAAGGATCCAATGATATGGTGTGTCTCCTAGGATGAGCATGGTAATTGTTATATCTGGGTCTGAAGTTGTTGTTGTTGTTGAAGTTTTCTTTCATGTATGAACTTGGGACATGTATTTTGTGGCTAGTTTTGCTTTCAGTATGTGGTTCTCTTGTTGATTTTTCATTTTTTACATCTTTGATCATTTCTTTTATGTCTTTCATTTCAATTAATACCTGTTCTAAAACTATTCCCATTGTGTGAACATCATTTTTTAGCATTTTGTTTTCTTTCTCGTATTCTGAGCATTTCTCACATACTTTTTCATTGCTGCTACAATATGAGCTTGTTGTGCTGGATTTTGAACTGTTAATTGTCCTACATGATTTTTCAGCCACATATTTAGTATTTATTAAGGGGTCTTCATGTAGACTAAATGGTGAAAGGTCTGCTCCATTTAACATTTGGGGTAAAATGTCCTCTGTATAATTGGATTTTGTTTCAATTCCACTCATTATTGCCGCCTGTTGTAATATCGATATTTTCTCAACAGCTTTGTTGCGTCTTCTTTTACTAAATATATCATTACTTTCTTCTTTGCTTAATCTTGTTATGTCATTCTCAGTTACCAAATAGTGTTTCATGTTCTGCAACAAACTTGCGCTTTCGTTAACAATTTCATTATTCGCCATCATAGCATTTACAGTCGCTCTGTGCGCAGGATATATACTTTGTTTCACATGATTCTCCAGTTCAGTTTTGGACAAAGTTACAAATTTGCAAATACTACAGTAGAAAGGTACATTATCTAGGGCAACATGTTTTCTATAGAAGTGTTGTAGCACTTTGCTCCTTTCGCCCATATAATGATTCACTGTGCAGCTGTTACATTTATACACTCTCCCTCTAGAGTTGCATGCCTCAATAGGTCTTGTGTTGCTGTTAACAGACATTCTGAAGTGAAAAAAAAAATAACATATTGTAACTGCTGGGTCAGTTTTATTTCTATGTTACATTACTTACACGCAATTGTGTTATTATTAGAATCAACATTTTGCAAATATTTTAAATATTGCGATAATATTTTATTATATACCATGTTTTATGGTTTAAACTGTTGTTTACCATTTCTTTATAAGCAAGTTAAATACATTTTCAAAATCACCATTCAATGTTATTTTTTAGCATTTACATGCTCATAACAAAAAAAGCAAATTACGTATATTAATTTTATGTACATCACAATGTCAATATCTGACATATATTTTTTTTTAATTTTAAATCAAGTAACATTATTTTATCACATCTATATTTATTATATGTTGTTTATAATTTACTTGTTATAGCTGCGCTATAATTACTATATATACATCTTTATACATTCTATATAATCAATTTGTGATATTTCAATTGTCACCAGTATGTATCTTCATGTCACTATTAATCTGTGATATTTCAATTGTCACCAGTATGTATCTTCATGTCACATATTATTTATATATTATCATCTTTTTTTTTTTAATGCATTTTAGATACAATTTACATTGACTCCTTGACCTTAATAATCCATCTTGGAGGGTTGTTCCCTTTATACAATTTTAGTTTGTCATGATGAACAATTTGAGATTTTCCACATTTGGAAAATTGAACCTTAAAGTTCTGGTTGTTTAGTTTATTCATTATAATGAATGGACCGTTGTATGGCATTACAAGCTTTGGACATACATTTTCTTTTTTTTTTTGGATTCTGTAAATACCAAACTATATCACCCTTTTGATAATTTGTAAATGACTGATTTACATCATATGCCTCTTTTTGGCGTTTAGTTTTATTATTTAAATTTTCTCTACAAATTTGATGAGCATTTTGTAATATTTTCTTTAGATTCTCAACATATTCACCATATGAAGATACTTTTTCTTGAGTACAAGAATTGCTACCAAATGCTATTTCAACTGGTAACCTTACTTCTCTTCCTAACATTACAAGATTTGGTGTAAGTTTTGTACTGTCATTTTGTGTAGCCCTGTAAGCAGCGGCTAATCATTCCAAGATTAAATCCCACTCAGTTTGTTCATTTTCAAGATAGACCCTTATCATTCTAGTAAGAGTTTTCATCAATCTTTTGGCCTGGCCATTACATTTTGGATTTCTTGTTGAAGTTCTTGTTTTCTTAATTTCAAGTAATTTACAGAGTTCTATAAACACTTTACTCTCATAATTTGAACCTTTGTGACTATGAATAATTAAAGGAGCCCCAAATCTAGCTATATCCTCATTTAGAATAACTCTTGCAGTAGTTTTGTACTTTGGTCTGGCACTGCAAAAATTTCAGTCTATTTGCTGAAATGACCTGTTACCACATATATATAACGGTTTTTCCTAGGAGTCACTGGAAATGGTCCTAGCAAATCTGTACATAACCTGTCTTAAGGTGCTATACTGCCAAGTGGTGTCTTTGGATTAGTTGAGGGTTGTTTATTTTCCCCGCAATTTTCACATTGTAATATCCACAAGTTTATATCTTCCCTAACCCAATACCAGTTATACGTTTGAAGAACTAAAGCTAAAACAGAAGTATGCATCTCATGCATAATATCTTTCTGCAAACAACTTGAACAAGCATTTGCAGAAATGACCCCGTTCCATTTTTCTTATATTCCCGGAACAATATACCATTCTTCAATTCCAAGGCACCCCAACATAAAATGTAATTCCTTACTGCAGGGCTAGATGCACTTACAGTTTTATTACAAGGCTTATTCCCGCCTTCAACCCATGTGTAAATAGGCCCTAAATCTGGGTCAGATTTTTGCATTTCCTGTATATCTTTAATACTATACCCATTTACCCAGGGTACCCAATTTGTACTAAATTGTGTATCATCATATGTGATAGAACAACATATATTATTGACTGAGTTCAGAAACTCAGTAGCTTGAATAACCTTATTCCTAATGAATAATTTAGTTTTATCATATTGTCTCAATATTGTGTTTGTAGTGTGCTGTATGAGTTTACATATTTTTTGTGTCATTTGACAAAGATATGTTGATAACATATTTACTGTAACTGAGCTGACAATGGCTATGACTGACAAAAACTGAAACCATTTTGTCATAAGTAATTGTGTTAATTGCATATTTTTTTGTTTTCTGTCTTGTGCATTCACTGACCTGACATTAGATGTATTATTAGTCTTAGTGATGTTTTGTTTGTATTTCTGATATAACAAACTTGATTCCATCTGTTCTGCTCGTTTAATACATTTATGGCATGGTCCACATTTAAGTTGTATTTCTGTGTCTATATCGTCGCATTTGCAATCAGTGTTGTTTGGACAACGTGACATGCCATCACCATTCCCATGTTTAATACCTTTACGGTGTTCTATTGTAAAGTCATACTCGGACAGTACCTCTAACCAGCGAGCAATTCTACCTTTTGGTAATTTGAAACTAAACATGTACTTCAAAGCTAAATGGTCAGATCGTATACAAAATTGTCTCCCTAATAAATAGTGTCTAAAATATTCAATGAAATATCGAATTGCTAGTAATTCTCTTTCAGTAACACAGTAATTTCTTTCTGCTTTGTTTAAAGACCTACTGGCATATGCAATAACCTTTTCTTTGCCGTCTTGTATTTGACTTAAAACTGAACCAATTCCAAAATCACAAGCATCTACATCTAAAATAAATGTATCTGAACTATTGGGAAGTGCCATTACATCTGGACTTGTTAGTGCGCCTTTTAATGTGTTAAAAGCTATTTGGCAATCATTATTCCATATTAAATTACTGTCATTTTTCGTTAAGTCATTTAGAGGTTTTGCAATTGAACTAAAATTCCTAACATATTTCCTATAATAGGAACATAGGCCAAGAAATTGTCTTATTTCTGTTGCATTTTGAGGTGTCTGCCATTCAATGATTTTTGCAATATTATTTGGATCAGGTCTAACACCTTTAGCACTTACTCTATGTCCTAGAAATGTAACTTCTGATTTTAAAAGATCACATTTCTTTGCTTTGAGTTTGAGGTTTGCTTGTTTTAAGCAAGTAAATACAGTTCTAAGGCGTTCAATATGTTCACTGAAAGTCTTTGCAAAGACAATTATATCATCAATGTATATAATGCATATATACCACTGGAGACCTTGTAATGCTAATTCCATAGCTCTTTGAAAAGTTGCTCCACTGTTTTTCATGCCAAAAGGAGTAACTAAAAATTCAAATAGACCATATTTGGTGCAAAATGCAGTCTTTGGAATATCTTTCTCATGCACTGGTACTTGATGATAACCAGATAAAAGGTCAAGAGTACTAAATAAAGTTGCCCCTTCAACTGCGTCAATACATTCGTCAACTTTTGGAATAGGGAATGCGTCACTTTTAGTAATTTTATTAACTCGTCTGTAGTCAATACATGGTCTAAAACTACCATCCTTTTTCTTGGTCAATAACAAAGGACTTGCACATGGACTATGTGATGCCCTGATAATGCCCTGTTTTAACATTTTGTCAATAGATTTCTTTTCCTCATCAGCATATGCTAATGGGACCCTGCGAAATGACTGTTTGATTGGCTTTGCATCACCAGTATCTATGTTGTGTTCTGCTAAATGTGTTTTCCCTATATCAGTGTAATCTTTAGAGAATACATCTTCAAATTCTATTAATAGTTTTGCAAACGGTTCTTTTTCATTGTCACTTTTATCTTTACTTGATTGGGTGTGAAAAGATTGTAAGTGTTCTAGAATGTTTTTGTGCTTTTGCAATAGTTTGTGCGACTGTTTCTGTCTAAAGTATATGGCATGCTCATTTTTTCATTATTGAATGTTTGTCTTGTCACTGTGTTATTTGTTTTATGCCCAATTTGCAAACGTCTTACTGCACTGTAATTGTTTGATTCATCTAAGTTTTCACTTTCTAATATTATGATGGGTTGTTCATTAATGAAATCGGCTTTACCAATTACTGTGTCTTGATTTATTGACACTGGTGTGTTAAATGGGTTTAACACTCTTACTTTTGCAGTAGGGCTTTCATTTATGTCTGCAATACTTGCAGCCATTATCAAAGGGAAATTTTGTTTGAAATTATCAGATGGCTCTATAATAACTGTGCCTGGACTCAAGTTGTCATCTGATTCTTCCCTATCTATAAACACATCAATAATATGTTCTGTTAGACCTTGTATTTCATAATGATCAGCTGATCGAACATGTCTGACATTTGTTTTGCATTGATAGTCACATAATATATCCTGTCCATTCAGTACTATCAGTACATTCAGTATTCCAAGCAAAGCATCATCTTTAATCTTTGCAATAATCACCTCTGACTTAAACTTTAATGGACCAAGCATAAGATCTAGGGAACATTTCCCAGTATCTTCTATAGGTTCACCACCTGCATGTAACAGTTTGCCCTTTTTGTACAATTTTGGTCTTTCTTTTTCAGCTATTTGATTAAATATATTTTCTGATATTATTGTTTTCTCTGCCCCAGTGTCTAAAACAAATTGTGTTTTAATTCCTTTAACAGAACCATGTATGTATACTGTATCTGAACTTGGAAAACCCCTGCGAATCGGCAATTTAATTGATTTATTTGTTTGATTTTCTACATTAATGAGATCATTATTATTTTGGACACTCCCCCGATCTCTAAAGTATGCCCTTTCTAGTTTAAATCTTGTGAATTAGTGATTTGTTGCTTTTCTGCAACTGAAGCTTGTAGTTTTGGACAGCTTCTTTTAAAGTGACCTATTTCCCCACAATTGAAACAGCTTTTGTTGTTGTTTTGAAATCTATTATTCCTATACTGATTGTATTTATTGTATGAACTGTAATACTGTCTGTTGTTATCAAACTGTCTGTTTTGCTTTAAATGTGTATCATGCGTTCTCGTATCTAACTCAGACCGTACTATTTCTAATATCTTTTCACTGTCTAAAATACCTGTGTTTTGACTTGTGTTAGTGCTAGTGTCTTGTTTAAATGTTTTATGTTTATTTTTGCCAGGTACTGCTCTAGCATTTATTGTGTCGTCATCAGAGTCGCTGATAGAATGCATGTTATTTATTGTGTTTGTATATCTGATGTCATTATCATATGCTGAATACTTGTGTTTTCTTTGTTTTGTTTCTTGAAATACAGCTGCATAAGCTGCTTCATCAATATATTTGGGGTCTTTCACAAATTCTACATGAAATCTAGCCTTTTCATTATTCAAACCGTCTGAGAATCTTCTTAGAAGATCTTCTTGTCTAGTTTTGCTATCTCTATTTGAATGTGCTTTATCATAAGTCTTTTCAGTTCGACAGCATAGTCTTCAACAGATTCACCCTCCCTTTGATTTCTATAAGTGAATTTCATCCAGAAAGTTTTTGAAGTTTCAACAATGCTAAATCTGCTATATAACTCTTTGCATAGTAACCTATAATTAAATCTAACACCCTGTGACAATTGACCATAAACAAAGTCCCCAGCTATGCCCTGAAATCTAGGTAAAAGCTCATCTAGCTTTTCATCATCAGACCATTTTTGTCTGTTTCCAACATCTTCAAATCGATTTAACCAAACTGCCCATGTTTCTTTACCAGTAAATGGGGGTAACTTACGATTTGTTTTTGCTCTACGACTGTTCTGAATTTGTTATTGAATGTGACTGATTTTCATCATTGTCACAATCACTTCTATCAGAGCTTATGTCATATTATGCTGTCTGTATCTGTAATTTCTAGAATATGCTTGAGATGTACTGTTAATATTATTTCTGTTTTGATTCTGTCTTTGAGTATTTTGCAGTGCTTGTTTTAGCTCCTGTGTAACAGTATTTAAGGAACATTCTAGATGTGAGACCTTATTCTGGAATGAAGTTTCTATATTTGTCATTTGTGCTTGAATCATATTCATAGCAGTAGAAATATCATGTTGATTGTAATTTTGTGTATCTGGATTCTGACTATCTGTGTTATTTCTCAATGGTGTATTTTGCAAGCCATTTGAACCATATACCATATTAGGCATGCCTCTTGATGTGAATGCAACATCATCATATACAGGCCTGTTAAGTGAACCACCACCACTATACCTGTGACCATTATTAAAGTTAAACATACTTCTGTTTTGGATATCATGTATATCCCTTTGTGAGTTACTGTGAGTTACTGTCTGAGACTCATTATAATCATTGATTTGTGTGCCTTGCACATCCTTATTATAACCCTGTGTACCTTGTACACTTATGTCATGTCCACCCCTACATGCATTTGTATTTGTTTTCAAAAATTCATCATTATTATGATTATTGATTGAGTTAACGCTCATATCTTGCATATTTGCATGACTATCACTTTTATCTATATTATTTTCATTGTCAGAATGCATCAACAATTGTGCATTTTCTCTCTCAATTTCTATAATACTATTTTCTTTTCTAGCCTTTAGCCTTGTTCTCATACCTTCTCTCTCCATAACTTTTAAATATTTAAATATCTTTTGTTTTCCTTTACAATTAAATCAAATATAGATCTATCAAAAGAAATACTTATTTATTTTATTATTTTTTTAAAAAAATAATCTAGATCCTCTACAAAGTATTTATTATTAAACTTATAGATCTATTTATAAAATTAATTTCATTTAAATTTAAATCTTGACCGCTGCCACCAAAAACAATGTGGCGACTTTCATATTTTAAACTTTTACTTTGGTAGCGTATAAGTCGCAACACTGTTTGGGGTTTAAACAATCTTTAAATAAATGGATATAAATAGGAAAAGTCTTTGTTTAAACTTTTAAAATGTAAGAATATTTATTGAACAGTTAGAACAAATATCATATATAAAAATAATTATGTCTTTAACATCTATCAATAATAGATCTAGTCATTTATAAACTATATCTCTTCTTTTCACAATTTCTATTAGATTCTATTCTCAATTAATATCTCTGTTAAATTATCTTTCTATTTTATGTTCTGATATTCATTTACAATGTATCAATGTTATCTTATTCTATTTTCCACCCCAATAATCAACTTATTTATTACTGAATTATCAGAACTAACTTTTATCTCTGAATTCTCAGAGTCAACTTCAATCTCAATCTAATCTTATCTCAATCTCATCTAATCTCATCTCAATCTTATCCCAATCTCATCTGAATCTAATCTGAATCTAATCTTATCTCATCTGAATCTCATCTGAATCTAATCTGAATCTAATCTCATCTCAATCTCATCTCAATCTCATCTGAATCTCATATTCGAAAACATCTCTATTTATACTAGAAGAATTCCGCTAGAATTGCAGAATTTGGCAGAAAGTGTGATGTCATAAATAACAGTGACAGAATTCAGCAGAATTCTGCAGAAATACATACAAACATATTCAAAGATTATCTTTCAAGTTCAATTAAACAGGATATACAAAATATTACATAATAAAAGCAATTACCTAAGATATGACATAATCTGTAAAACATCGTCTGTCAACTGTCAAAAACCCAATGTTTACCAATAAGAAAAACGCCCACGAGAAATCAATGACGTAGAACGCATAATTCAATGACGTAATAGACATAAACGTAACAGGTACACATAAATGTTGTAAACATGCCGGTAACTCACTATCAGCCAAATTATCCAATATCTTTAGAAATTGACGTTAACAGTAGATGACAATTATAAACAGACATACAAAAATGTGGATAAAGTTTACCGCTAGAAGGTAATTCAATCTTGAACTTTATATTGAACGGTAAAAAGCTTTATCACTGAGATTAAAAATAATGTAAACAATACCCCACCCACTTTTAAAACCATTAAGTTATACGGAGTTTGCACATAAAAATACTCAATTAAAGAATAAAGTAAGCAGGTGAATTATTAGATTCACCTGATCCCTACCAGGAGAAAGTCAGTTTTGCCATAAAAGCAAGACCCCCTATTTCATTGAAACTTTCTACTCATTTCGAATTTGAATATTGAAACATGGCAAAATTCAGGATCCGATAAAATCATTTTTACTTTCTGGCGGGTTCATGAATGCTGGAAAGCACCGTTTTGTTTATTGTACGGAGACCTACGGGATTTATTTCAGATTAGTATTGGCCTTTTTATTGAACGGTCCATAGGATTCGCCCAAGTATATAAATTCGTCGTGAAGCTTTTTACATAATTAAGCATTTTTGACAAATTGCCGATTTGAGATTTTTTGGAGAAAAAAAAAGGTATTTCTTGGATCCCGTATATTCAGTTTAAAAACCAGTGCTTGAATCTCTGTAAAATGTAATTGGCATCATCCTTATTTTGGGCATTGAAAGAGTTTATCAGCGAGAAACTAGATATTAATGGTGAAAACCCAAGGTCCCATAGACACTCTTTTGAGTGGCATATAAATTACATAACGCGGTTGTGGAATTGCGCTGTTTTGTTTATTTGCATAACAGGTATTGAAGGGTGGTTACCAAAGCATTTTATTGCAACGTGTTTGTAAGTACTATGACATTTGTACAAAAGCTTTGTTTATTAAAGTCGTTAACATTTTTTTTTTGAATATTCGAAGTGCCGCTGCGTTCAAGGACTGTATAGTCTGCATATGTATCATACCATAATTCTGATCAATAATTTGCCACTTTATACCCAAATCGATTAATTTTTAAAGCCTAAATTACCTAGGCTATCATACTCAAACATCCGACATTTCTTTTGATCAAGTTGATGCCGGGGCTAAACAATGTTTGCAAAATATTGTAATTTAGGTTATTGACTTATTCTGGATGTTTCATTAATGAAAAATACCGCATGTATACCCACGAATTGCATCTGACCAATTTCTATTTTTTTTAAATTTGTTCGGGATGCTCTTGGGTACTCATTATAAGTTCCCCGTCAACAAAGTTGAATCTTTTGTTTATTTTATATTTCTAACATATTTTTCTTTTGGCACAAAGTGTGTAACAACTCTACAAAATGATTGTTTCCATTTTTATCTTTAGTACCTGACAGATAATGTGCGCCTAGCATTGTACCGGAACAAGTATTTATTCATGTATTTTTTAACATTCACCTTTATTAGCCTCTTTGTATGATGAAGATTCACACTTACCGGAGGTCCCGGATTTGGCCATCCCATTTCGTTTTCTTTCCACAGGGCTCCCCTTTACAGGTCTGTCAGCTGGAGGCATGGCTGTAGAAACAGGACGTTTCCGAATGTTCCATCTCTTATTGACTTGCTGTTGGAGCGATGTCTTCGTGTATGGCCACGTTGTTTCGATGTTTAACATTTGTCGAAAAAATAAAATTATATAAAATAAATAAATTATTATATTATTCAATTTTTCTTTTTGTGTACTTTATTTATTTCCTACTTTATATATTTAGATTCTAATTTTACTCTTAATCTTTTATTTTCTTTAGCCTCGATGAAATGACGTCATAGGTATGATGTCACGCGCGGGGATTTTCTTGATAATTTTTCCGGGGAAAACATGAGGGTTCATAATGGGGAGCCATATAATCAATATTTTATTTTAACCGTTTTTAGCTTTTGTTTCTTTTAATTAAATTTTTAAGAAAATGCCCCTAATTTTAAAGGGTTGGGATCTAAAATTTCACGTGCTAAATTTCATATAAATACAGAAACCCCATAGGTTTTAAAAACCAAAAGTTTCTAGATTTTAAAAAAAATTTTTTTTTTAATTTATAATTTTTTCCCAAAGAAACCAAAGTGACTGACAATAAAAAAGTGTAATAAAGGGAACCCCAAAATTGATTTTTTTAGACTCCCTGCCCTTTAAAAGAGAAAAAACACCCGGGTTCATCACTACGGGGTTATTAATCTGGTAAAAGGGTTTTTAATCAAAATAAAATAAAAAACCCCCAAATTTTAATTTTTAAAAAAAAATTTAATAATGGCGGGAAAAATAAAATTTAAATTTTAAAATTTTCTCCTGTGCGTTTTAAAAAATAATTATTCGTTTATATTCAAAATTTGAAATGTAAATTTTAGTTTTTTTAAAACCGAAGATAAACAAACGTCCCTTTAATATAAAGCCCTTTCGGGTTTCATTTGGTTCGCGTTTCCCGAAAAGCTACGTACATCCCCGGTTTCCCGTGATTATTCTTTCTGAAAAACCCCTTAAAAGGGGCATTTTTCTTTTTTAAAAAACCCCTTAACCTGTACCCAAAAACTTCAAAGGATGCCGAAAAAGTTTTTATAAATACCCAAAAGGAGGCCCAAACCTGACGACTTTTACATCCCCCTTTATTTAAGGGTCGCCCAATGAAAAGCATAAAAAAAATCGTAAATGAATATAAAGTCGTCATACAAATGGGTTTTTTTTAAAAAAATGCCAGTTTTAAATTTAAAAACTACATGGGGGCCCCTATCCCAAATTTATTACTTTAACATAATTAGTTTAACATGCTAAATTTTTAACCCCTTTTTTTGAGAAAAATTTATTGAAAAAAAAACATATAACAATAAAAACAAATTTACAATTTTTGCATGTTATTTTTGGTCAGTGAAAAAAAAAAATTTTTTTACGAACATTTGTAATTTATTTTGAAATAAAAAACTTAACGCGATTAAAGAAAAAAACCCAAAAAGGAAAAAAAAACCCAAAGTTTTAAAAAATTTTAAAAAACCGGGGAAAAAATACAATAAAAAAAACCAAATAAAGGGTAAAAAACATCAAAAAAAAAAAACAAGCTTTTAAAAAATTCATTTTCAACTAAATAATGCAGGAGTATTTAATGGGATAAATTTGCGAAATTTACTTTATGCAGATTTTTCCCGTATTTTTTTTTTGTGATTTTCAGTTCATACAAACTTTAATAAAAGGGATGTTTTTTCCCCTTTATTGGTAATTTTCCCCTTGATAAACCCTTTTTTTTCGGGACCTGAAATGAAACCCGGACATTTAAATGTCAGGGCCCGCCGGTCTTTACTCCTTACTTTGTGCTTTTTTCAACCCCGGGGTTTAAAAAAGAAACTTGACGTTGCCCTGTTTTCATGCATTAAAAAAAAACAAACCCCCTTAGCAAAATTTCCCGGGTTTAAAATTTGGGGAAATTTTAATTTTTGCCATCATAACACAGCGACTGCCCTTTTTCGCCCTTTATGGATTATTTTGGCTAAATTTTCCTTTTTTTTGAAATTTGGGAAATTCCAACGTTTAATTTTTTTCTCCGTATGATCCCATCCCTTTCCCCCCATGACATTTCAAAACGACTAAGCTTTCTTTCTTTTTTGACCTGAAAAATAAAACAATTAAAAATTTTTAAAAAATGTGAAAAAATAACAAGCAAATCATTTCGCCTGGAAAGGGTTTTCCCCATGAGTTTGCGTTCGTTTTTTGCCTTTTTTTTTATTTTCGTTTTTTTTCATACTTCCTTTTTCAGCTTTTTTTTCTCTCTCATTTTTTTCCTTTAAATTTTTCATTTTTTTTCTTCCCGTTTTTTATCAAGCAGCCTTTTTCCTTTTTTTCGTTTTACTCTATAAATTTTTCTTTGCTGTTTTCGCCTCCCCTTTTTTCTTCCCCCCTTTTTTTTTTGTGCCTCTACTTCCTGTTAAAACTTCAGTCTTGTTAACCCCCGGGCTTTTGAAGGGGGTCTTGTTTTTATCCTTTTTTTTGTTTAAATAGGAGTGCTAGTTTTAAGGGCCCCGACCAAATAATCAACAAGATCTGGGGGAAAATTAACCCGGGAAACGAAATTTAAAAGGGTGGTTTTTGGAGCGGAATCAGTTAAAAATCTTTGAATGGAGGTCCCTTTTTGAAGTCGGGGAAATTTGCCCGTTTTGTTTAGGAAGGGGGAAAAAATTTGTGTTTGGTTCCCAAAATGACGTTTTTTCTATCGGGGGTTTGGGGTTTTCGGGGGAATTTCCAATTTTGAAATTTTTTGTCTTTTGGCAGGTTTCAAAAACCAAAGCGGGAAAGGCTTCGTTTATTTTTCTCCTTTTCTTTTTGGGGTTGTCAAGTTTAAAAACTCAACTGCCAAAAAGGGGGTTTATTTCGGGCCGGCCCTTTTTCCTGAAACAAAACATCTTTAAAATCTGCAATAAAACTTTGATTCCAGCGTTGGGGAAAGAAACTTTCGGCCCTGCAAAAAATTTAAAAACTCTTTTTTCGGGGAAAAATTTCGGAAACCCTTTTACTAAATCTGTTAAAATGTCCCGGATGCGAAATTTGTTTTCAGACACCGAAATTTAAAGGTCAATGACTCCCAAAATGTATTTAAATTCCCACCCAAAATAAAACTTTTTTTTGAGCTTGTTGCACGGGGGGAGAACGGGGCAAAGTCGGGCGGTCGGCAAAACATACGTTTCTTCAGGTATAAAAAGTCACATTCTTTTCAAAGTGAGGGCCCGGGTTTAAGTATGAGCACATGAAGCAGTGGAAAACTTACGAAACTTTTTCATGCTCAAAATAGATTTAAGCGAAAAAAGGCCCAAGGGCCCTCCATGTCATTTTTTCTGCGTTTTTACCAGAAAAAAGGGGATTTTTTCAATAGCTTTTTGGGTTGAAGGGAAAAAAATGCCACATTTAGGGAAAGCCCTCTGTGATACTTTGAAAATTTTTTAAAAGACTTTTTGTAAAACTAGCTTAAAATTAAAGTTTAAACAGGGGAAAACTGACATTTTTCTAAAGCGACCCATAAGTCGTTTTAAATTTCATTTTTGAAAGATTTCAGGGAAGTTTAGAGGTTTAAATTTTCTCTTCCGGAATACACAAGTCCAAAGGGGTTGGGTTAGGG